AGAAAAGTTTTTAAGTTACTTAAAAAAGTATAAGAGGGTTTCTGGGGAAGAGAGTTTCTGTGGTATATGTTATAGTTTTTTATATGATATTAGTATAAGTGGTGAAACGGTGGCAAAAAAGTGGTAAGTATAAACCGTTGCTTGTACACGGGAGTCGCATCACAGAATAAATTGTGATAATGTGTTGCGTGTTATCTTCGAAAAATACAATTTTATTGCCATATCTTATATCGTTCAAACAGCAGTAAAGATTGACAAGAAAACAGATTATCGGTAGAGTTAACTGATCTCTTAAGATATATTTGTGGATTTAAATAATGCTTTCTTTGTAATTGAAAATTTGCAATATCTACTTGTTTTGACATGACACATGACCCCATTCAATTTTTACCTATTGAAATTCCCCCTCCGATCAATCCCCCGTACAATTCAAACGGGGATCGAAGTTACGATGGCCCGAGACCAGGTTCAAACCCCTAGCGGTGCCCTCAGACTAAAGTCGTATTCGTCAGGCGGGAGTTGGCAAATGCCAACCGCGGAAGATCTTATGGGGCAGCTATTTAGCTTAGGCCTTCCGCGGATTTAGAGTGGCAAATGGCTCGCTCTCTATCGTCCGGTGAACCTGTAAAGCCCAGATGCGGCCAACAGCATTAGAGTAGTCCGAAAAAATGTTGATAAGCCTCCTAAATAAATAGCAACATTGTAATAAAGACTTTTCCATCCCAGAGAGACACAAAGGATAGGACAATAATATACTAAACTAGTATAAGTTACAGTATCAATAAATAAGAACCAAAACCCACTAGTTCCAACCCTTTAAGTTACTCAAGTCAATGAGTATTTCAATCATTCTATCATATACACAATTTGCTGGCAGCTAATATTGTGCTGTGATAATATGCGTATAATGCGTAAAAATCTTTTAAAAATCTTCGTAAATAAGTACATTGTAGAAAAGATAGTTAAGCGACTCAAGTCAAACGTTCCGATTTAACGCCGGGCTGTTCTGCCCTACGAGTATACACAATTAACTTTAAGCTCCAAAGCTGAGGGGAGAATGGGTATTCAAACAAATGAACGAAAGTATCGTTTCGATGGGATTTGCTTTGTACAAGCGAAGCACTCCAACGGATATTGCAGTTAGCTTGCACCGTTCTATTGATTTACTTTTTATGAAACTTGGAAAAAGTCAATATAAGTGAAGCAGAAATTAAATTTTATTCAAACAGAACTTCTGTTTTTAAAGTTTGTGTCCATTATTATAAATTACTAGCTGTCCCGGCCAACGTTGTTTTGCCTTAAAATAAATAATAAAATTTAGGGGTGGACTACCCCTAACATTTAGGGGGATGAAAAATAGATGTTGATCGATTCTCAGACCTACTCAATACGCTACAAATTTCATAAGAATCGGTCAAGCCGTTTCGAAGGAGTATGGGAACGAAAACTGTGACACGAGAATTTTATAGTATATATAAGATATTAATGTATTCATTCATAGAAAAAATAGTACGCTATTGCGTACTATTTTTTCTAGTTATACAAAATCTTACTAACATTATAAACGTGGAGGTGTGGACGGACGCTCGGCGGTGCAGATATTTTACGCAAAAACTACTAAATTTATTTTAATCAAACTATGTTAGTTTGATTAAAATCATAACACATAGACTATAAATTTCACGCGGGTGAAACGCTGGCACAACTAATGTAATAATAAACATGAGCATATTGAACTGTAATTTGATACTTAATTAAGTAAGGTGCAGGGATATTAACATGACTCGCATTTTTTACAAGATATATAAATATACCTATAATTTAATTATGAAAAGGTGTAATCACAGGGCCCTGTGATAACGCACTAGCTACATTGGCAGAATTTATATTCGTATACTCCCTACTCACTACTGTCTGTGTTGCAGTGATTGTTCGTCAGCGCGATGTGGAGGTTGTCTCTGTGTGTGTGTTTTGTAGCAGTCGTAATTTGTGATCAGAATGATGCTGAGGCGGAGTCTTTACTTGTTACTATACGTTATATATACGCAAGGATCGGTTCGTGGGTATAAAGATCCTGAAGCAGACATCTTCGTCTTCTATGGAATCCCATACGCTAAAGCCCCCACAGGGCCGAACAAGTTTAAAGTAAGAAAAAATTGATCTTATAAAGCTATATAGGAGGCCAAGAAAACGGCAATTCATTTAAGTAAGCTGATTCCATAGCGCAGAAAATATAAATTTTATTGTTTGTAGTTAATGTATGGAATCTACAGGTAGAAAGAGTTAAACTTATTTCGTGGCAGAGAATATTTCTAGAGACACTTTGTCGCTCTTAATGAACTTATGAATAGCCCATTATCAGAGCCGTTTTTGAAAATCATTATTGCTTTAATTTTCAGGCACCTCTACCAGGACCAATATGGTCTGAAACATTTGAGGCTGTAGACAAAGGTATAATATGTCACCAATCCAAAGATTTTATTCAAATGTACAAACTGGAAAAAAATATGCAAGAAGACTGTCTAATTGCAAATATATATGTACCCAATACAAACAATAAGAATCTTCCAGTTTTGGTTTATGTACACGGAGGTGGTTTCCAAGTAGGTTTTGGTGATTTAGTAACGCCAAAAAATTTGGTAAAGAGTAAAAATGTAATAGTAATAACTTTTAATTACCGACTTGGATTACAAGGTTTCTTATGTTTGGGTACTGAATACGCTCCCGGTAATGCCGGTATGAAAGATCAGGTTGCTTTATTGCGATGGGTAAAGAAAAATATTGCCAGCTTTGGTGGTAATCCGAATGACGTTACTATAGATGGTTGCAGCGCAGGTTCTGCATCTGTTGATTTTTTGCTTCTTTCGCCTTTGACCAAAGGACTTTTTAATAAGGCAATACCTGAGAGTGGATCTAATACAGCAGTATGGACGATACAGCAAGACCCACTTCAAAATGCGAAGGATTATGCAAAGGATTTAAACTTTACGAATGTTGATAATTTCTATGAGTTAGAAGAATTTTATAAAACAGCATCTTATGAAATATTAACATCGAAAGCATTCTTAGACCGCACAGATTCTACTTTTGGCTTTTCTTTATGTGTCGAACGTGATACTGTGGACGATACATTTCTCAATGATTCTCCTGTTAATATTTTGAAGCAAGGAAAATATGACAAACTGCCTTTGTTATATGGATTTGATAATATGGAAGGATTGATACGTATTCCGTTGTTTGAACAATGGAAAGAAAAAATGAATAGGAAATTTTCTGATTTTTTACCAGCCGATTTACAATTTAAGAATGAGAAACAGAGAGATGAAGTAGCTGAACAGGTTAAGAAGTTTTACTTTAAAGATAATTCAATAAATGTAGATACGGTAATACATTATGTTGATTATTTTAGTGACATAATGTTTTTATATCCAGCATTCAGGTCCGTAAAGTTACAAGTTGAAGCTGGTAATGACAGAATATATTTGTACGAATACTCATTTGTTGAAGATGCCAATATTCCTGAACAATATCCAAGTCTTCGAGGAGCAAATCATTGTGCTCAAACAATGGCCATACTTGATGGAACGTTCTTTGCAGACAGAGATGAAAAAAATATTAGTGAAGATTTGCAAAAAAATAAAGCTGTAATGAGAGAACTATGGTCTAATTTCATTAACACTGGGTAATAGATTTTTTATCTTTTGTATTTTAATCGATTCAATTAGAGTTTTTTTAATTTGTATTATTTTACTTTTAACATACGTAACAAAGTATGTATACTTTCTAATATTAATTAAATAATAATATTTTTATCACATCATTACATTACAAAAATATATGATAATATACAGGAAAAACACGATATGAATCATGGTGATTTTTTTACAATTAGACACATTAGGTAAGGGGTTATTAACTATGTTTCCTGTGAGTTCCAGATATTTCGATAAGTTACAAGTATCTTACTCACGTCGAGATATATATATAATGTGTACAATGTATATGAGGTACTTAACAGAAAAAAATGTCAAACAGGAATCCGGTACCTGAGGGATCATCATTGCCCGCATGGCCTCCAGTGAAAACAGGTGTCTCACCATTTATGGAAATAGATAATGAGCTAAAACTGAAGGGGACACTGTTGGAAGAACGAATGGGTTTCTGGGACGCTATCTACGAGCAATACTATCGTCCTCCCATCCCACCACCGGTACCACCTACCGAGCACAACGAGCTTTAAGGTTTTTTAAACTACAGTTTGATTCTGTTTCTTCTTACCATTATTATTTATAATACAGTTTCAACCATAACATAAACATTTCTTAAATGATCGTCTCTTGTAGAATGTTAAATATTACAATAGTAAATATTCGCTATATTTTTATATAACTTAATAAGACTTGTGTATGTACTAATAAAACTTTCATAATTTAATGTTCTTTGTTTTTTGTTCTTTTCATCAAAATTCAGGAAGAGAGGGGGAGGGGGGGGGGGGGTTAACTGGTTTATAAGGAGTATAGGTAATAGCTTAGAAAAAGGCGCCTCTTAAAACAATGTCTTTCAACAAACATATGAATGTTAGTGTGTAACTTAGAATAAAAAGAATAAAATAAACATACAACACAATCTTGGCCCGAACAAAGCAGAACATGCGTTACGGGTACTGGCCACTGATAGAAATACTGCAATAAATACATATATACCATATATATTGTAATCGTATTGCTCTGCTTGTTATCTGTTTCTACGTACTCATATGAAACGTCACAGTTTACGAAAAATTGCCTGTCATTCTTTGTTTTGCTATTTATATCTAATTATTTGTTATGCTACATAATTATGTTATTTGAATATGTCCATCTGTGTTCAACTTGTTTCGTTATAAAGAACTCGTTTCATTTTAGCGAAGCATCAAGCAAAATAGGGCATAATTCACGAGGGTCACAAAAAACTTGTTAGTAACAGACGTAATAGGTAAATGAACACGCGCATATTATTCATAATTCAGTTGAGTTCTTGAACCGCACGGAGACTGCAGGTTCTGCGCGCGCATATTATATATATTGACTGTTTTTTATCGTGTTTTCCGACAGGATATGATATCCATTCGGGTGGACCGCTAGATAATAACAAATTACGACGTGAGACCTAGCGAGGATGCTAATTGAGTCAATTGAATCGTGAGTTTTGGTGTCCGAAGGTCGACCGAAACAAATAAGAGTCAATATCGCTACTAGTGTTAGTATTACTAAGAGATGAATTGAAGTTTGGTGGGCACTTGTGTGCCAAGTTTTTGTTGTACCTACACTTTATATTTATGTATAAATCGAAATCTTTACCATGATAATATTATTTAAGAGCTTCCGGTATTTTTACGTTGATACTAATTCCACATTGTTACAAAGGTCCCCCGGTCAAGGGTCGACTGAATAAAATATTACATTGGTTTATATAATGTTTACCATTATACAATAGTGAAAAATGTTTAAGTATTTAAGTACGTTTATTAAGAGAACGTATTATTTCAACTTGACTGATTGCTCTGACCATTTTGATGTCAAATCCAATCCGAGAGAGAATTTAATTAATAAAAGTAGAGAATTTAACTTACTTATCTCAAAATATTATATGTTTATATTAGTGTCTTAAAACATATAATGTTGTTACCTACCGCAAAAATAAAAGTTATACAGAATTTTATGTAGGTACTTAGTAACTATCATTAATTAGGTGTAATCTTATAACCGTATGATAACGTATAAGAGATGCCTGATTATACTTATTGGTGTTTAGTGATTATTCAACAGCATGATGTGGAGGTTGTCTCTCTTCGTGTGCCTCATAGCAGGCGCTGTTTGTGAAGAGAATGGCGTGGAGAAGGAGTCCAAGGTTGTTCGTATTTCACAAGGATCTGTTCGTGGGTATAAGAACCCTGAAAGCGGCATCTTCGAATTTTATGGAATCCCATACGCTAAGGCACCTACAGGACAGAATAGATTTCAAGTAAGTTTTAAAAATGTAACTATATATTTTTACTATATTGTCAAAATACAATACAAACAATGATATCGTGAATATATCTTCCAGCTTGAGCGATATTTTATTACTAAAATTAATAAAATACTAAAATTGTTCAGTGTAAAATCTCTGCACACGTTGAGACGTGTTAATTTAAAATAGTAATTATCTACATATCGTATTGATCTTAATAATGATAAAAGTAATACTTTAGATTTTTAGCAGAGATTTATCTGTGGAACAAAGGGAATCGATTTTAATGCCATAATTATCATTACATAGTATAAAACAACGTCGTTGTCGCTGTTTGTCCTTATGTATACTTAAATCTTTAAAACTTGCAACGGATTTTAAAGCGGTTTTTTAATAGGTAGAGTGATTGAAGAGGAAGGTTTATATATATAATGCATGTATACCCGTACGAAGCCGAGGCGAATAGCAAGTACAAATACAATACAATTTAACATTCAGTAAGATCATAGACAAATTATAAAGATAAACAACAATAAACTGCAATCTATCCTCAACTTGACCATAAACTTTAAGAATAAACAAGGAGTATATGTGTGAGTCAAATACATAGTGGTGTTTGTAACGTTTTCTTTATTGATTTAATGCATGCTTTCTAAATAATTTAAAAACATATAGGCATTCTGCGCTCCTTCTCTCTATAAATACAAATATCTAAATGTGTGAAAATTCAGAGTCTTCCGTCCTCACAATTTTCCTAATGGGTGTAAAAGTGTTAGGCCATTTCGATTCCTTGGTCTATTCGTATACATAGACCAAGGAATCGAAATGGCCTAACACTTTTACACCCATTGACTAAACTAGCATCAGAAACGAGGAAGAATGTGATATTAGAATTGTACCGTTTTCTGTATCAGATCTGATGGAAGTATGTCAATAATGACTACGGATGGGAAGGCTGAGATATATTGTATAAAATAATGTATGACACATTTTTATGATAGCAATTTACATTATAATTTCGCTATAATAGCAAAATTATAAAAATAGTGACATGCATTATTATGCTCTATTAAATGTAGTTGATATTTTGTCAAATTACTTAGTTTTTGAGTTTATAAAGAGAATCTCTAAATAGTACTAAATGTAGTTTAATGCTTTAATTTTCAGGCACCGCTACCAGCGCCGTTATGGTTGGAGACCCTAGACGCAGTAGATAGAGGTATAATATGTTATCAACCTGCTGAATTTCTGCAAATGTTCGGTCAGGAAAAAGTAGCGCAAGAAGACTGCCTCATTGCAAATGTATACGTTCCGGATGTAGACAATAAGAATATTCCTGTTGTAGTATATGTACACGGCGGTGCTTTCCACGTGGGCTTCGGTGATTTAGCAACTCCAAAAAATTTGGTAAGAAGTCAAAATGTGATAGCCGTCACATTCAATTACCGACTTGGAGTACATGGATTTTTATGTTTGGGTACAAAATATGCTCCCGGTAATGCCGGTATGAAAGATCAGGTCGCGTTATTACGTTGGGTACAGAAGAATATTGCCAAATTTGGAGGCAATCCAGATGACGTCACAGTAGCTGGTTATAGTGCAGGTTCAGCATCGGTTGATCATTTATTACTATCACCTTTGACTAAAGGACTTTTTACTAAAGCGATACCAGAGAGTGGCGCCAATACAGCCGTTTGGTCGGTACAACAAGATCCGCTTAGGAACGCCAAAGATTATGCAAAAGCTTTGAATTTTACAAATGTTGATGACTTCAATGCTTTGGAAGAATTCTATAACACAGTGCCTTATGAAACATTAACATCTAAATCATTTTTGGACGTTCCTGATTCAACCTTTGGATTTAGTTTATGCGTAGAGCGGGAAACTGGTGAAGACAGGTTTCTTGACGATACTCCAGTGAATATATTGAAAAATGGAAAATATAATAAAGTACCTTTACTGTATGGATTTGCTAACATGGAAGGATTATTTCGTTTGCCACTTTTCGAACTATGGAAGGATAGAATGAATGTGAAGTTTTCAGACTTTTTACCAGCTGATTTACAATTTGAAAATGAAAATCAAAAAGAAATAGTTGCAGAACAGATTAAGAAATTTTATTTTAAAGAGAATTCTGTTGGTGCAGAGACTGTATCAGACTATGTAGACTATTTTACTGATGTTATTTTTGCATATCCAGCTCTACGATCTGTGAAGTTACAAGTTGAAGCTGGTAATAACAATATATATTTGTATGAGTACTCATTTGTTGAAGATATTCATATTCCGAAACAATATCCAAGCCTTCGTGGAGCAAATCATTGCGCGCAAACAATGGCTGTACTTGATGGAACCTTTGTAGAAAATAAAGCGGAAATCAATGTTAGTGAGGATTTAAAAAACGTTAAAGCAACACTACGAGAGTTGTGGGCTAATTTTATTAAAACTGGGTAAGTGCAATTCTTTTATTCTTTATAACCCTAGGTTAAAAAGATTTTGCAGCCATAGTTGAAGTAGAATAAAAGCATTAAACAAGAAGCATACGCCATATATGTGTCTGAATTATTATAACCGATAAATGTACTCTGTGGACAGCCTGGTTTCCACTTGAACTAGCTATTGATAAAGTATATTGTTCTGTATTTCTTAAAGATGTTAAATAATTACAATCACTCTGAACTTAAAAATATATAAAATATTTGGTCCCTTTTGTATTCTACGACGCCTTATTAGGTAATGACTTTTACTAAGCGAAGTACTGTTCTAGTACGAAAAGACTAGCTCTTTTAAGTACTTAAAATGAGCAAAGAATAATTATTACTACTTACATATAGTAATAGCACAGATAACATAATATTACATAGTAATAGCAATTCTATGGTATTAGGAAACATTCTATTGGATTTAATATTTCTTTAGCAATAAAGCTACATTGAAATATACTCACATATCGCATGTTTTTGTTCACATATACCTACTTATCATGTCATTCTGATTACAAATAAGTAATCCTATATTATCAATCAGTTATTATGTAACAAAAATAAAAGTAAGTATCTTAATATGTGAATAATACTTGTCAAACAGAAATCCAGTGCCAGAGGGATCATCATTCCCAGCGTGGCCTCCTGCGAGCGCTAATGGTTCTCCATTTATGGAATTAGGGAGAGAGCTAGAATTGAAGGGGACACTGTTGGAGGAACGTATGCGTTTCTGGGACGCTATCTACGAGCAGTACTATCGCCCTCCTGTCCCACCACCGGCACCACCTACCAAGCACAATGAGCTTTAATCTTCTAACTACAATATTAATATTTTTATACTTTTTGTTATTTTGTTAATTGTGGAAGCGATTTTTTATAATAATTAAACCTTTCTTTTCTTATTCTAAACAAATATTACACTTCACTAGCATGAATTAAAGTTATTAGTGCTCGATCTAAACTACGAGTGTAATTTACAACCTAAACCGTTTCTTTGAGCATATATAACTTTAACAGATAGAAAAAATAAATGAAAGACTTTATTCAATCATGTAAACAGTTATTTAATCAAGTATTATCTTTATGGGCCACACCAATTTCTTACTGTAAATAAAATAAATAATCTAAGAATAAATTGATTATCATACGATAAAAAAAGAACAAACAAGCACCTGATGGTAAATAATAATAAAGACATTTATTCAGCGTTACAGTATTTTTATTTACTATACAACTTAAAAGCAATAACATACGAGTAACGCTGAATGTGACTCCCACTCAGCAAATGGTAACTCTCACCTATATACCTGAACAGGACCATGTACTTCACGTTGTAATGTGCACCTTACCTACCTTATATGTATTGCCATTCGTAAGATCTAAGATGTCAGTCTCCGCACCCCATAAATCAGCCAAAACAATAATTCAACTGAACTTTCTGATATAGTTATGGTTTAGATATCAATACTCGCAAATATAAACTGACCTAAAGGAAATTTAAAATTTCTTTAGGTATTTCTTGACCAATTTTTAAGCCAATGTATGATATAGGGAAAGGCATTGGCTATTTTGTTAGTAAATAGTATCAGTTATGTCAACCGCAGATAAGATATTATTACATATGTCAACAAAGACTGGCGCCTGGTCTATATAGGTATATATGTATGTATAATTATATATATATGTATTAAAATTTTCTGTGGTAGTTTCCTAAATGTTATAGGAGAAAGATTTGATTTTTTATAATGCATAACATAAAAAATATACATAATTTGCAGCTTACAAACAGCTGTTTGGCGGTTGAAATAGATGAGTTTGAGATCGCAGCACAGACGATCGTTTACAGTCTATTATTATCAAATTCAATGTCACCATGAGTTGCTATTTTTTAGTTTATACCTACCCAATCCTGTAGTAATCAACAACACTAAAAAAATAGCCCATTATAAAGTTATAAAGATTGAACAAACAACAACAACTTGGATCTATTTATGTAATTAACTTGTTTTCTTGTTCGAATTTTGCGACAGTGTATGGATTATAATGTCTGATAAAGAAATATTTTCGCTAAATAAGATTGTTTCATATATTTGTGTTATAAATTTAGCACTGCACGTATAAGGAAAAACTTATTAACTTCGCATTGTGTATTGTTTACTAGTACAAAACATAATTGTTATTTATTAATTAATATAAACATAGCATCTCATTCGGTTTTGCACGGGTGGCACTATTTTTACTTGAGAACAACTCTACATCCTATATACCCTTTACATCGGTTGATCTATTGATACAAAATAACAAGTAGAAATATTTAAATACATTTTTTTATAAATATATGAGTGATATATCACATTACAATCACTAACGAATACAAATGCTTGTATCGTGCGAAACCACTGCCATCGCAAGTAAGGTAAAGGAAATCCTAATATGGTACAATATTTTTTATTTTATTTATTACAAATAAAAATCAAATCTTTCCATTTTATAATCTTAATTGAATATTGTCATCTCTATAAATAACTTTCTAGTTTCTTTCTTACGGAACATATAACAGAACAAGTTATGTACTTTGTACATAATATATGTGTATGTACTTTGTACAATATCATGGTAAATCTGGCGGTAACTGTGTGGTATTAGCATACGAATAAATAAACACTATAATGTCTCATTACGTATTTGCATAACTATTGTGATTTTTTACGTGTATTGTATCTACTGATGAAAAGGTAGATACTAAGTTAAATAACATATTCACCTTGATACGTCACATGTTTTTTTATAATTATTACATCTAATAATACATCAATAAATTTATTTTGTACTACGTTTACTACAATATGTTTTTATCTACGATGATATTAAGAATTATTCATATACTAATAATGGATGTATAAGATTTAAAGATCATACGATGATGATTCACCATGATTGAGACAGGCGCTGTTTGTAATGAGAATGGCATTATATGTATATAGGATCTATTCGTGGTTACAAGACTGGAAATACCTTAAATAAATTTAAAACATACAAATAACTGCAAAAACGTTGTACATAAATAAATATTTTTTTATTTGATGGGACTAATATGGAGTTTATGGATTTTTAATATACACATATAAATATCGGGTATTTAATAAATTCTTGCTTTTAGTAGTAGTTTAAAGTACATCGTTGAGTTTGGTGATAAAGTAGGTAACTAGTAGTAGTAACTAAGCTGCTGATTTTTTTTATAATTCATTATTATACAAAACTGTCAATATCTGTATAAGTATTTAAATATAACATTTAATAGAAAAGACCAAGCTATGCCGCAACTTAATCTAAATTATTATTATTATTACAAAACTTGTTAATTCAACAATGCTAGTGTTTACTTTCTTTTAATTTTTAATCATTTTAACATCTTGCTGATTTATGACATTCCGTCATGCTTAATTTAATATTAGTTAAAATAAGGATATAAGATATTGCACACTTAAATGTATTTCCATACATATATTTCTTTGCGTTTACTTTTAGGCACCTCTTCCAGCACCAGTATGGTCAGAAACACTAGATGCAGTGAATAAAGATATAATATGTTATCAACCCGCTGAATTTTCACAAAAGTACGTACTGAATAAAATAATGCACGAAGATTGTCTTATTGCAAATATACACGTGCCGGATGTAGACAATAATAATATCCCTGTTCTAGTATATATACACGGTGTTCATTTCTACACAGGCTATGGTGATATAGAAACTCCAAAAAATTTGGTAACAAGTCAAAATGTGATAGGCGTCACATTCAATTACCGACTTGGATTACACGGCTTTTTTATGTTTGGGTACAAAGTATGCTCCTGGTAATGCTGGTATGAAAGATCAGGTCGCGTTGTTACGATGGGTACAGAAAAATATTGTCAAATTTGGAGGCAATCCGTATGATGTCACTTTAGTTGATTATAGTGGCTCGGTTGACTTATTATTGCTATCTCCTTTGACTAAAGGACTTTTTAATAAAGCAATATCGGAAACTACCTTTAATAAAGCCGTATGGTTTGTACAACAAGATCCGCTTAAGAACGCCAAAAGTTATGCAAGAGTTTTAAATTTTGCTAGCGTTGATGACTTCAATGCATTGGAAGAATTCTATAAGACAATGCCTTATGAAACATTAACATCTCAACAAATAAGAGATGCTCCAGAATCAGCCTTTGGATTTACTTTATGCATAGAGCGGTATACTGGTGAAGAGAAGTTTCTAGATGATACTCCAGTGAATATATTAAAAAATGGAAAATATAATAAAGTATAGTATATGGATTTGCTAACATGGAAGGAGTGTTTCCTTTGCCAAATATCGAACAATTTGTGAATATATTGAATATGAAGTTTATACCTTTTTTACAATCTGATTTACAATTTGAGAATGAAAATCAGAAAGATATAATTGCAGAACAGATTAAGAAATTTTATTTTATAGATAATTCTGTAAATGCATACACTTTAACAGACTATATCACTGATGTTTTTTCTTTATATCCAGCTCTAAAGTCTGTGAAGTTACAAGTTGAAGCTGGTAATAATAATCCCATCAAAAACATAAATGTGAAATGATAGCCGAGTTTAATATTATGATATATACCTTGATTGTTGACTTCTACGACAAAAGAGATGAGATCTAAATGGGTGCCAAGTTCAATGATCTGTCCTGAAATGTATTTATAACAATATAAAATATCATTTCTTCTTATAACTTAGGATAATATACTGTAGCCTAAGGTCTAACTTGGCCAGTTCTCATATACCAATTATTACTTTCGATTGCTAGTTACTATTAATATTAAAATAGGAACCGACAAGTAACATGTTTAGAACTTGCCAAGGCTACAGTATATTTCGTATATGAAAACTAGCCAAGTTAGACCTTAGGCTACAGTATATTATCCTAAGTTATAAGAAGAAATGATATTTTATATTGTTATAAATACATTTCAGGACAGATCATTGAACTTGGCACCCATTTAGATCTCATCTCTTTTGTCGTAGAAGTCAACAATCAAGGTATATATCATAATATTAAACTCGGCTATCATTTCACATTTATGTTTTTGATGGGATATCATTACTTTTTGTACATAAATTATACGAGGTACTTATTTATAACTAAATTAATACCAAATTATTTTTGATAAATTACTGTATTTTCGTATATTTACGGGGTATAATTGTCTTTTTTTGTGTTATTTTCTATATTTTCTTGTAACTTTTAAATGTTCAAGTGCATTGCCAATTCAGTATCAGGAATTTTTGGGCAAATCGGGGCGGTATAACGTCCACAAATGGTTGTACTCTACAATAGAGCTCTCGTGACTTGGATCAAAATTGTTAAGACGTACTCCATCTAAGGTTTTAACTCTGAAGAGTCCAACGTAAACCTGCCCTTTATTAAATATAGAGGAGGCTATGTTGAGAAGAGGACTGCCAAAACTAAGGCCTTGTGATTTGTGGATAGTAATAGCATATGTTAAGCAAATACGGAATTGTTCTCTATCAACATATACATTATTTAATATCTGAAACTTGGTATTGACACGTTATAGTTCGTAAAGACGATTATGTAACAAATTGACTGTTATCTATTGAATTCTCAAGAAAACAATTTGTTACCAATAAGTTCTCATTCTCGAGTTAACTATACATTCCTACTTATAACTATACTAAAATTGTTATTAATTTTTGGTTTAAACTATTGTCTATACCATACGTATTTACTAAAATAATGTAATAATAATATAATCACAAATATATAAGTATAATTTAAGAAAGCTATAAATTTCGTAGCATAAATCGCAACCTTATAGGTTAGATGTCCAGAAACAAAACATTGAGTTTTATCGCACCGCTCCCACACGGCGCCGCCGCGGCGGCCTATACCGAAAAGCCTATTATTTAATAATTATTTATAAAAATAATGATTTTACACTATCGATGTGCGCTAAATATTGAAACAATAATTAATACCAAATCTCAGTTAATAACATAATAAATACGAAATTCGACTATACTCCTAGTTATAAGTACGAGTATATTTTAGACAGAATCTAAATTATAGCAACTAGTGTTTACCGCTCAATGCAATATTTGAAGTTTGCTAGTTATCGACACTGATGTGAAGGGGTCAACGTAAATTGGTAATGATCGACGTTTTCATACAATATTACTTTCGGTCCAGTACAAGA